TTGCATTTGTTGCGAACTCTCTTGAGACTCATGATCATTTTATGCTGGGAATATTGTTTTTCCTCGTTGTTTAAAACGTGTTCCTAAGCATGCATGCTATCATAATTAATCGATTCTATTTTCTTTTCAATAGATCACAATACTTTTAAACAAGCATGCTCACAGTTCCTTGCGACAGACATTTTCTTAGATGAAGTGGATGTGGGTGCTACTGTAAAGAGTAGATACCCACCCACATCGACGCTCCCTCCCACATTCATACCCTCACCCAAACGGACCAACATCCACACCCGCACGCCGTTTCATAATCTAAATTACGTTACAATCGTTGCTTCATAGGATCATACATTTGTAAAATAAGGTGTGAGTGAGTGTAGTTTTGAAACTAACACTCACACCCGAAACAACCTCTCAGCTTACCTGGATGCAAATATATGATATGAGACACTCATTCTAGTTTCATGTTGTGTATTGGAAAGATAGTTGTCATTGCCAACAGCGTCACAATTGAAAGAGATACATTATAGCCTCCATGTGACAGAACACACGTGGCTCGATTAAATTTGGTGTTGTTATCAATTGAATCAATTCGATAGAAGAACGCAACACCCAAGCAGTCAAAAAAGTTAAATTGACGCGTTATAACGGCCGTTTTGCGTTTTATCTTGTAACGCATTTTACACAGTCAAAAATGTCCGAATTTTGGCGTTTGAATAATCACAGTTTTTTCAGCTGTCACATCGTTGAAATGGTAGAAGAAACAAACGATTAAAACACATTTTCGAGATCAACGGTTTAAAACGGGTAAAATCGGACATTTTTGACTGTGTACAACGCATTTAAACTAGGGAAGAATGGATATAACTCACATACCTTAATATTACAAACAACATTAAAATGCAGTATTTACTAATAAATAAGAGATACCAGGTAACATCGGTTCGAAGAAAGTCGGAAGTTAAAGAGCATATCACAGTAGTGTAGTTTCATTTCTTTTCAGAGAATAGGTTCATGGTCACGTAAATATCGAGTGATAGCTGTCTAGCAATTTTTTTTGTTTTATTTTATCTTCTAAATAATAAAAAAGAATTTGCAAGAAAAGCTAACTCAAGTGTTAAGGATCTCATGCATTCTAAATTTAAATTATCGAATCTTGCTTATTCACTAGAAGATTTTTTCACTATTTGGAAGACAAAGTAAAATGTTAAATTTCGCTAGAAGACTATTGCTCGATTATTTACAATTACATGGCCATGAATCTAATCTCTGAAAAGAAATGAAACTACACTACTGTTGTAAGTTCTTTAACTCCTGACTTTCTTCGAATCGATGCTACTTGGTATGTCTTATTTACTAGTAAACACTGAACTTTAATATCGTCTGTAATATGAAGGTATGTGAGTTATATCTATTCTTCCCTAGTCTTAGCCATAGTTCTTACTTATTGGATCTATTTAAAAAGTTTTTCGAAACTAAATAATGAAGTAGAGAAAATGAAGCGCACGTCACACACTATTTTTCTCTATAAGCACTATTCACCTAAACATATAGCACAATAAATCAAGTACCTAATATAGAAGTTTCTTTTTTGATAGTCTAAATATATTTGGTAATGCCTTTTCATATTTAGAAAGTATATGTTGTGGTCAAAAGCCAAATTTTAATTTTGACTGGACAAAATTAAAATTCTTTTTTTAATGAAAAGAATAAGGTAAAATTTCGACACCAAAATGTATGGATGTGGGTGAGGATGCTTGGTTTTGAAGAGTGTGAGTGTAGGTAGGTGTGAAAGGAGCAAGGCTCTAGGATTACCATCTTGCTATTAATTTATATAAATTTAAACCATCGGTAATCAAGTTTAAAACAAATTAAATTTTATTCATAATTTAAATTATCAGAATTTATATTTAAAATAAATTTTGGTTTAGACAATTTAAATTTAATTTTAGCTTTTAAATTATTAAAAAAAAATTAAATTTACTTTAAATGCAAATTATGAGAAAAATAGCCTAAACTTATTTTAAATTTAAATTACCGATAATTTGATTTCCGCAGTAATTATCTCAAAAGTAAATAAAAATTAATCGTCCA